CTGGAGCGGTGACAAAACAGCTCAGGCGCGGCGGCAGAGCTCGAGTGCTCGAGTAGCAACTCCAAACCCATCCAGCAATGCAATGAATGGCCTACTCGGACACCTGGATGCACGCTTTACATCTGTACAAGACACAGTCGTTGAGACAGTAAAGTCGCAAATAATAAACGCAGTTTCATAGATGAGTTGACCTGGTTGATAGAGACCGCTTCTCCCAAAGGCACAGTGGTTTTGCCGTTTTTCGCCTTTACAACTTTTCCATGATGTAGGATCTATTGAGGCCGAAAGACACAATGGGGGGCAGGGTTGAGGATCTTCTTAAGAAATACAAGTCTACATGTATGCCCTGCAGTTTTGGCCGACACCGCCGTATTACATAGAAAATGAACCATACTATCCGACCAACGTCACCTACACAAACAGTAGCCTCAACCCACCGCTGACGTTGTCTAAAACGTATTCCACCACCCGGTTAAACGCCCAGGGACGCTCCCGCGTCCCACAAGGGGGGCGTGCACAGCGCGGCCGTGCCCGCGCCGGGCCCGCGCGGCTGCGGCGTATCCCGGACGGTTGGCAGCCGGAGCTGGTCTGCAGCACTGGTGCCGGCCGCGCTGCTCGGCCGACGCCTGTCTCCGCTAACTACGTCCGTTATCAACAGCCAGCATGCCGCATGCAGTTCACGGAGACGCGCCGGCCGGCGGCGCGTGCGGCGGCCGGCGGCGGGCGGCCCTGTGTGCGCCCCGGGCAGTGCCGGACGCGCCGTCGGGGCGGGGCCGGGGCCGGGTCGCAGGCCGTGGACTAACACCAGCAGTGTGGGTGCTCTCCAGCGAGAGGTGGGAGTTAGGAGGGGTGCAACCTGTGGGCAGTTTTGGATGCAGGGATCCGATGCTTGGTGCTGTTGGGTGGTAGAATCGAGATGCATGACGGGTGAAGAGTGTATCGGTCCCATTTTAGCCTGTTACGCGGCAATCGATGTAATTACATTCATGTTACAGCGCAAAGCTTATGCGATCATTCATACTTTGTCGACGTCAGTAAGACTAGATAAAATTATTTTCTGCCATGGATTAGATTCGCAAGTATATTTGCTTTCACTTTATGCATACGGAGCAGGAGGACCTGCTTAAGTTTAACAGATAATTTGACACAGATTCTCTCGTGACAATGCATAACGCTACAACTCATTATGCCTGCGAATGAACAAAGTTTGAATGATTGGAACTGAATTAAGTATCTGGTGATGCCCGAGTCACGCCAAATGAAATTCTTCCTACCGGGGATTAGTTTCGTCTGGTATACTTACTTTTGAAATATCTTCTCGGAGCGGTAGGACCTGCTCACGTTTCATCAGAGCTTTTAACGCAGCTCTTCTCGTGATGATGTATTTTTGCTATTTGAGCTTAAGGCGCGTCGAGAGCCGCGGTCACTTGGCGCCCAAACTGTGGCTGTGTAGAAACTATGTCGCGTTTTATCATATAAAGTTGCTGTTGTGGGCTTCCGAAGCGTGCCAAAAAGAACAAGTTGTGTAAAATAAACGCCCGCAACACGCATTGTGCAAGGCATCCCACACGCAGCTCACGTAAGCTCGGTGCAGCTAGGGTGCTTTCAACCAGGGTCATGCGACTTCAGAAGATCAAATGATCATGAAGTCAATGTCGTTTAAAAACGCAAGAACTACTCTCATGTCAATAGTGGGGTCCTTGCTTACAAGTGAACGCAAGGGCAATCTACGTTGCATATGCCGGCTACAGGGACGACAGCACTCGGTGGCAAAGAAAGGGAGTTCCCCAGGGACATGGGTGACGGACAGCGCGTGACCACAGCGACGACATGCTGGTGCTTTCCCTGCTGACGGGAGGAAGCCCATGCGTCCCGTGTATGTGACCTACGCGGGTTCGGCACGGGCCAATTGCCTCCCTTCCTCTGATGCGATGAGAGGCCTGCCACTCGCCTAAGTTTGACTTGGTAGCGCCAAGCTTGCTCTGAGCGTTTCCACGGTCGTCAGCGCTCTTCCGATCCCTTGCCTTTTGCCAGTCTACCGCTAAGCGAGCTGACAGCATCTGCCTCAAGCCCGGGAATGGTTCGTGGCGAGCATAGCGCCACTGCTTATTATATTGGGAGTGAATGAAACCCGAATGTTGGTGACTGAAATAGGTTTGAGTGAGAGGACAATTAGGTGGATCAAGCGATGACAACGAAGCACATAACCTTAGGCGGATCAATAGCATGAGGAAATGTAGTGCTGACGTTGCGTGAGGTTTCATCACATGCGTAAGGCTGTAAATAGTCCCAACATTTCGCAAACGTTCCAACCAAATAACATAACGAAATGGTGTAGCTTTTCAGCGGGATGCGTGCACGCAACATTGCTATGTTTTGTGCAATTCTGCAAGTTTCCATCATTCTTCTCTGAATTTGGCACTATGCACCTGTCTGCTGACCTCATGTCCGCTGGAGCGACCTTTGAGTCACATTGGGCGTAGATCTGTGACGTTGCAGTCGGGTGAATGTGCATGCAACATTGCGCACTATGCTGTTTTGCAAACTTTTTCAAGATTTTTCTCTGTAGGCTCTTATGCCCTTGCGGGGACAGGGGTAGTGATTTCAAAGCTCCACGCTGCTTGCTTTGGCCGGAATAATATTCCAACATCCTGCACTTTTGCTAATTTTTTAAATCAATTTCTGTGGGTTGATAACTATGCGTTGATGACGTTCATTGAATCTGCCGGCTTGCAACGAAAACTTCACTTAATACCGTGCTGCAACCACGTGCCTCTTTCATAGCGACGCATCGGCAGCTCCTCCGCTCAGGGTTAGATAAGGGCTGAGATGAGGACATAACGACGCAAAGAGTTTGCTTGAGGGGGGGGCTTCCCGTGCTACAACCGTCTGAAACGAGTCCGGTTATAGCACATCGTGCAGAGCACCTCGCCTCCGGCGTTTTGCCGGTGTCCGCCTTTTGATGGACTTCTGACGTCACGCCGTCGGGGGCAGCGACCTTTCGGCCGCAGCCAGCTGTTTTCGTGTTCACCGGAGGGTATCTCCATGGCGGTGACGTTCACGCTATGCGGCGGAAGCTTACATAACTAGATGGAATCCTCGATACCAGCGCATCAATCTGCTCCGGCCACGCCGCAGTGTGTGTGTTTTCATGCCCTTCAGCGTGGAAATCGTCCTGTTCTTGCGGTGGCCGGCCAGCTGCCTCCGTGGTCGGTGCGCCGGCCCCGGAGTCTGGGCCTTGACGGCATCTTTGTTGCGATCCAGAGTGAGATTGTGACGGTGGGGCGGGGTAAAAGATACAGTAGGAAACAAGCAAAAGAAAGACGCAAATGATAAAAACCTAAAATGTCAGCTCCGCCTTACGACTGCCTCTTGATAAGCTTTTGATTCCGACACGAGGGATTCGGATGTTGAACTCTCCGCAGTCTTCAAGATTGGTGTTATGTAAATGGTGCTAAATTTCATTGCTCCTTTCCGACACGAAATGGGACAGATGGCTATTTAAAGATGGACAGATAACTATTTACTAGCACCTGTCAGCGACACTTCATGGCACTTTTATCAGGGGTATACTCAGGTCTAAGTGGTTGTGGAGGGGAGCACAGTGAAAACTTTCTGTCCATAATGTAGCCTCTTGATTCAACGTTTGGTAGCAGCAAACTGCAGTTGTCAGCTGTTGTTCTAAAAAACCCACCCGAATGCCACCCTCAACCTTATGGTCACTGCATTATAAAGACATACGTGGTCCGTTGTCTGCATTCTTCATTGGAACACAGAAAGTAACATTCTAAAGCAACAGACATGAAAGTATTTGGTAAGCTATATCGCGGAACTCGACATAGCGGAGCAACGCGGAGGTTTGAGCGCCAGAGAGGACCAGACCAGTTGTTGACCAGAGAAGCCGCGCTTCGACTCGAGCTCCGGCAAGTCCGACCGGGATCCGAACTTCTCCGGATCGTTTTCCCAGACGCGTCTGCTGCCTGCTCTACACCCCGCTAGAATCCCTGTGAGCACAAGGCAAGTTCCGAAGTCATCACAGTTGCCACAGCTTCCGGCATTTCGTCACTGCAACGCCACGCGATTGCGGGGCTCGGATACCGTTGCTGTCTGCCAACTTATGAGGTTTTTGCACTGCTGTACCATGTAGTCTATCTTGGGACACACCGAATCGTCCGACTTTAGGTACTTCCGCTGTCTCCTGTCCACCCTCAGCTCTGCTTTGATATCTCTGGGTCTGCTCCACGGCAGTATGTTCTCACTCCCTGCTGTTGGTCGGCGAGCACCGTTTCCAATAGTTCTCACGATGGCACCCCATGACCAGTCCCTTGTAACACAGAAGATTCGATTAGCAAACCTCTCAACCCATCTCGCTTGATGTAGAGCCCTTGGTCAGCTTCCAGCAGATTTGCTGGGAATGCGACTGATGCAGACTTAACCGCTTGACGCAGCCTGAGCGATACGACTGGTTTTTGTTCACATTCTGTCGTTCCAGATGGCTTTGGCCGATTGGATGTGTTAGTTGGCCCACTAGTTTTACTAGTTTCACATATTTTTAGGCTTACACTATGTTTGTATGACAGTATCGAAAACATGCATCACGGGGAGTTCGTTAATGCCAATGCGGCATGCTCACTGTTGAACAGCCATGCTCTCATTCCGTCGATAACCACTTTCATATCGGATAATAATCAATATTGTTCCATCGGAGCCGAGCAGAACCGAATCTGGATCCTCGTCACTGATGAAGTCGGTCAATTCTTTAGCCGCACAACTGTCCCTTCACTGTTAGTGGCGCGTATTCCACGCCTCAATGGCTTAATGCTGGTGCCATTGCCTCAGGTAATTGTTTGTCGGTACGGGTTTACTGCTCCTCTTGTTAGGGCTCGGTCGTCCTCCGTCGCAAAAGCATCCAGGCATTCAATCACATCTGCTGGCGGTGGGGCTCTCTTCTACCATCCTTCTGTCGCTACTTGTCGATCTGTCCCCAATCTTGCCGCGAT